TGGTGAACCTAAAAACAAAGGCAATACACATTTTCTGTAGACAACATTTGAATATATTATCTGTTGAAGGTGTCTAGTTGGTAGTATGTGGTAACAGTACACTTCCTTTTGCTACGAGGCACTGTCGGGAGTAAGATGACTTTCAGTTAAGACAGACAAAACAGAACTCCAAACGTTCCCAGAAGCGACCCATACCCGTCTTCAGCAGCTAGTCCAAAGTTCACTTATGATACAAACAGCAGTGTGATTACATGTCCGTTCGTGCCTCTCTTCTGTCTGGAGTGTCGGCCAGACCCATGGTCACTTCTCGCTGCACCCTTCTCTCCACACCATAATGATGTAGTAGAGAGCAAACGTTCACTTGTTTCTAAAGGGCCCTAGCCATTTCTAGCCTGTCAAGCAATAATCCACCACCAGTGGTGCAGAAGCATTCAGTCTGTCTGCCTTTTCGTTTCTCAACCCGCCTGCATTACGGAAAAAAATAATAATCCACGGGATGTTAACATCAGGGACGTCTGAAGCGATGCTTGCTACTTTAAAGCATGCCTGTCTCCGTATTTCACAGCACAGTTAGGCGTTAGTTTCAAATCCTAGTGCAAACACAATACTTTTCAAATTGTCCAGCAAGTATTCCAACACCCATGTCTTCCTTCTACTTCTATGTTTCAATGTATAACTACGTGGTGAGGCCCCAATCCCTTCTACAGAGCAGATCTCGCACCCCTGGCAGAAAGCCATGAGAACCGCTCCCCTCTGAAGCATTAACCAAAAAAATGTTTATTATTCTGTAAACAGTTTGTATGCAAAATGTGTGTGTAAACTGTATTGTGCAGAATATATACAAAGCGTAGCTTCGTGTTAGTATTAATGTTGCGTGTGTGTGCGTGACTTTGAGAAAAGTATCCAGAAGCCATGAGTTGTTAACCCTTAGGCTCGGTATTATGGATATCGCAATCTTTCGGCCTTGATTCCATGATAAATAACGTAAATCTGGGAGAAATGTGGCTTTTCTACCTACCCCCGGGCGTGAACCCGGACCACAAGGAGCTCGTCACCCGGTCACCGCGCAATCCGGTTTAGCCAACTACGCTAGCGTGCCGGGCGTATACTGTGATTAAACAGATAAGATCATCGTGGCTATCAAGCCAAGCTCTTCGGTGATCATACTTTTCATATTATGCAACTTGCAATACTTTAAAAGAACGTTACTATGGAGACCGTTTATGAACGAATGCTGACAGACACGAGGTTAGATGAAACAACGCGTGTAGAACGCGTGAAAGAGAAATCAGGTGTGGATCGGGTAAGGAGGGATGTATGAGAGGAAATGAACGGCGATAATGTGCTACAAGAACAGTTAGCATGTACACCTGAAGACATTTGCTGATAGAGACGGAGCACCTATGGGTATGTCCGGTGTGATATGATAACGGTTCTTAAATCAGTAAATCTTATGGGTATTCCCGGTGTGAAATGATAACGGTTCTTAAATCAGTAAATCTTATCAGTAATTTGTCTCTCTCTGTTTATTATACCTTTAAGCCCCTGCTGGTCCCAGTGCAGACATTCTAGTTACCTGAATATATCAGGTTTTCTCAATTTGTCTTATCTAGTATTGTCCATATCACTGCTAAAAATACGAGAATTTGGAGTAAAGATCGGCCAAGCATCAGAAGCACACCAGACGCACACGCAGTCTTGTTAACTAACATGGGACTGGCACTATTAACCGTGCAAGGCTGATGAATATGTTGAGAGGGGAATCTGAGCGCCTACGGATGTGTCCGAGGTGCTGTGAAGATAATCAAGCTCATAACTCTGCCAGGCGACCCCGGCGTTAAGAATGGCTAAAATGCCTCAACTTTCGGGACAAGGATAACATTCTTTTTTTCCAGTCAGAACTGGCCAAACACTGGCATTATAACACACCTACATGTAACATTCAGCCACAGACGATATGGCAGCAGACCGATCTGCAATGATTTCGACAAAAACTTACTGAATGTTTAACTGCTAAATAAAACCCTTAAAACGACATCAAATAGCTGGGTTGGTTGTGATGTCCAGCAAAACATATGTATGTAACTTTATTTTATATATATATATATATATATATAATTTGACAGAACACTTAAACAACAATTATAAATTAAGTAAGAGATAAATGATTCCCTGCAAGCGTTGTCAACCTAAGCAACAACAAACATCATCACAGACCCTAATGCAAAACTACAACAAAATGAACATTAGCAAACGCTCACACAAACCACAATAGTCTCTAAACCCCTCTTCCAGTCCCGGCGTTCGAGCTTTCGACAAAACAAATGTCAATGGATTTTCAGGGCAGAGACAGGAAGTCAGCAGTTTCGTATTGTAAAAGACAAGGAACTACATCGGAGTACTCCGGCAAAACCCAAGTCACGTCGCCGAATCCATTAACTTAGAATCCATTAGCATCAATTTCATTTTAAACAGCGACCCCCGTACAGTTAAAAAAAAAAAAAACCGCGAGCTCATGTCTGGTTACCCTTCACGGCAATGGAATACGTGTGTCTGGAAAGTAGAAATCCACGTCTAAGAAACAGATCGATGGGATGTCCAACTGGGGGAACTGAAACGAGAGCGACTGGCACAGATTACCGACGGGGATGTCAGTTGGTAAGTAGTCTGACTGGAAGCTGAAGAAGTGCAGCGGCTAGCATGTTTACCCAGAGGCTTAGGTCATGGGTTCCAATCTGCAACGAAGCGGATTAATACATTCTGGCCTATGTCCACCGTTGTCCTAAAGTATAAGTAAAGTAAAGAACCCTTTTCCACGGCTCCAGGGTAGATAAGGCTAAAACTATATTTTATAGACCAAACATCACTTAGTGGGTGATGTGGTCAGCATCATGCCGGCCGCCTTTACTTCCCATGACTACCTGGTACCCACTCAAGGCTGGGCTGACCTGGGAGCCAAGGTCATTTTTTAACAAAGTCCGGCCCCTGTCTCGACCCGAACCCACGACCTTCCAATCCTCAGGCGAGCATCTACCCGCTAGACCACGGCGGTTCCCTAAAGTATAATTAAGGATCGGAAATTGTTCTAGGAAGTAAAGGCGATCGATAAGAAAATGACAACGTTGCTATTCAGTACCAAATTATCTATATTCCTCAACATAATGTTGGCATTTAAAATCGTTGTAATTTAATGTGTGAAACTTCAAATTGCACATAAAAGTTAGGATTCAGCCTCGATTCAGCCAATCAAGATACATTTCTGTTGCAGCTAAGTCAATGATAGTTTTTAGTCGTGCGGGCTTTCCCGTCAACTAATTGAAATAAGCCACTGGATAACTATGTGTTTCTTTTTTCTTGTGTGTTTTTTTTTTTAACAGTGCGTTTGTGTGTATCTATATGTATGTATATGTACGTACGTACGTACATGTATGTATGTATGTATGTATGTATGCATGCATGCATGCATGCATGCATGCATGCATGCATGCATGCATGCATGCATGCATGTATGTATGTATGTATGTATGTATGTATGTATGTATGTATGTATGTATGTATGTATGTATGTATGTATGTATGTATGTATGTATGTATGTATGTATGTATGTATGTAGTATGTATGTAAGATGGCGATAGCATCATATGCCCAGTAGATCTCAAGATGTGGTCATAGGCGCTTCACTATGTTTACTAATAACATATAGGAATGTCCCAAGAGCTATTGTGCTGAGTTGAGTTCAGTCAAGAACTGACAACACAGCACTCGAGACACATCCATAAACGATCCGTCATCATATCCAGCAGCAATCGCATAATTCCAGTTCCGATGGAACCAGTAAGAGTTATTGTAAGTTCGTCTCGCCTTTTCGTGGCATATCCTCTACTAACTCAAAAGGTTACTCTTCAAATAAACACAATGTGAATGATGAGGAATATACACAGAATTCTCGTGTTTTTTTTTTTTTTTCCAGCCTTTATTTCTATGTCCCCGTGGGTTCCAGTGCAAAGACACTCTAGTTTTACTGTTCTCAGGTTTTCTCAAGGAGTGTCCTCCCCAAAGCTGAACATTAGTGATTCGATCAGACCATTTAATTCCCTCGGTTCTGCACAGGCAAGAGACAATGATTGTCAGACACGGTCTCCCCATGCCTGTAAAAGTTGCAAGCATTTTATGTGATCTGTTCTCTTCTTCGCGTTCACCAGCTGTAAACTTCAACGTTATCTGTTCTTTTCTCTTCTTCGCGTTCACCAGCTGTAAACTTCAACGTTATCTGTTCTTTTCTCTTCTTCGCGTTCACCAGCTGTAAACTTCAACGTTATCTGTTCTTTTCTCTTCTTCGCGTTCACCAGCTGTAAACTCCAACGCAAAGTTCTGGCTATTCGTCCAATGCTGGACTCTAGTCTTGATTCAGAATCGGAGTGTTACGTGCAAATCAGTTTAACAGATCTGGATTATATGTATGCAGACTGCTGGTTCCTTGCCTCTCAGGCAGATGCACTCCGACTTCGAAGGAAACTCCCGATTATTCGCTTCTTTTACCAAGCTAATTGGGCAGGCAGTGGGTCTATTCTTGTCTTCCCCACAATGGGATCCCTGAACCCACACGGGGATTATCTTATCTAAGCCGTGACTTCTAAAAGTATGTACTGTCTATCCCAATTTCTCCAGCCTGTACTTTTACTTCTATTGATTCGCTTTTGCCCGACTTCTGTCCAAAGTTAGATATTTGCTGTAGCGAGCGGTAATCAGAATTCCCAGGATTCCGAATCAAGTTAATGTTAGGAATTTTTTTTTTAATCGAAAGAAAACCAGCAAAGCATGGACCCGTACAATTATTCGAATATCGGAATGCCACTGAAAGCTCCTGTCAACATTGTCAGATTCGTGATATTTTTAAACTCTGGAATCGATTCCTCGTACTTCACCTTCCCAAATGAGGTGTTTTCTCGTGTTTGTGAACATCGATAACTCAGATTGTGGAGGCGAGTAGTGTTTTTGTCAATATCT